ATTTTACTGTATATCTAACATCAAACGAATTGCAATTTTGAGGTATCATACAACAGATGTTAAGTGAATAGGGGATCGGGGCTTTCAGGCAATTAGGACGGTGGTGAGTGTGCGTGCGTGAGTCGGGTCCCTCGCAGGTAGGTCTGAACTCCAGCCGCACTCCGGTAAAAATCAGACTATAGAACTAGCTTCCTGGGATGTCACGACCATTCCCTCGGACAGAGGAGCCATACCATGCCGGGAGAAGCGCGAAAGTAAACCCGTTGGACCGTCGTGTCGGCGCGGCGCACGCAGGTGGCTTTGTCAGGTGGCGTTTCCGGTCACATTGGCAACCATCGAGTAACATTCTTTGTTAGCCTACTCTGTGTCAATCGCAAGCTGCACCTACACCTGCAGGTCGGTACGCGAGGCGAAGCTTCATGTTCAACATGACACGTCGATTCTGCTGACCTCTGAACATATCGCGTGAGACTTGTAGATTTGAAACAGTGTTTGCACCTTCGAGAACAATGCTGTATAATTTTAGCATAATGGCGTGAGGTGGATTAATTAACAGCAATGTGAAGGTAGTTTGATTTTTAAATGCTTTACAATCTCAGATCAAGTGTGTTTTGTACGAGTCAATGGTGTTGGAATTGTGCATTGTCCACGTTTTTACCTTACATTTTGAAAATTAAACCGTATAGCTATTGGAATTTCGGATTTTCAAGTTGATCAATTGTCGAAAATCTCATTAGTTAGTGGAGTATAAAATTTACCGAACAAAATATGCCAAAATTTGGGAAAATTTATATTTTCCACTGATTTATTCGTTGAATATCATTGGATTTCCTATGTGTGTAATGGTAACCCTTCAACATATTGTATTTTTGGTGCTTCAGGTAACTTAGTCCAGTATTGCCAAACTGGCTGACTGAGGTTTTGGAGGACACTATGCCGTTATGGCTACCTCATTACCTTCAGAGCTGCGGAACACGTGTTTCGAGGAAACTCATATAAAATCAGAATTACACATTGTCTACGTTAACCCAACCCGACAATTTGAAAGTTGGACTGTTTAGTTGTTGGAATTTAAGATTTTGAGGTAAAAAAGTGGCTTAAGTCTAATAATTTGATAGTGGAGTTTAAAATTTACCGATACAAATACGTCATATGAAAATGTATCGTGTACAGATTGCTTCGTTGAATATTACGTACAAGTGTAGCGTAGCTGTAAAACATTTACATTGTAAGGTTTTCGCAATTTTCTTCGGAATTGATCAGTGCCACTACTTCTAAATAGGTACTTTGATTGATTGTATAAAATCACAACGACATGTTCCCACGTTGTACAGCTCGCCGCGTGCACAGTGTATAACGTGTTGTGTACACTGTACAATATTGACAGCCCGTGTTGCCGTGTTGTGCCGCAGTCTCACATAGATAACTCCCAGATACATTGCCGTCCGGTTTCCGGATCCGCCTTCATGTTAACATGGTTGCCAACCTACAACTAGAGGTACAACTATCGATCATGCATTAATACATCACTTAGCGTACAATTGCATCTATACCCGACGCAAGCCAGAAATTTTGATAAAAAATGGTTTTGTAATTATTGGTTTACATGTAATATTGAGTTATAATGAAACTTGTAGTCTTGTAGTCTATAAGGGTTGGTCCTGGGGTTCTAACTGTCTTGGCAAAACCAGCTGATCTTGAGTAACTAAACGACCTTTTTATCTATTCAAAACTCATACTACAAAAGTTTACTCTATAGTATGTGGTGTAATGCACAGCCACACGGCAAGTTTGATGCATGGCGCCATCAAAGTAGATATGGTATGTACGTGGTGTGTAGTTACATGGTTACCGCTGATTTATGTTTATGACATTAGCATGTGGCTGGAGGGTGAGTTCAGTCTCCTCCCTTCCCACCCACCCCATCATAAGCAAGTGGTGACAGATGCACCGTAATGTGCGTGATCAATAATTATTTCCTTGTGCGATAATTTCACACTTGTATACGCACCACACGCACCGACTATAGTCGTTGTTTCTTCAATATTTGTACCTTTTTAAGATTTGTAGGAGGAGGATCCTAACCCCCTTGAAAGTTAAGACAGTTTTAGGATCAATATGAACCTGATTAGCCTACCTACAGTGTGTTGATGTATATTTCTAATTTTTAGACGCCAACTTTTTAATCAGTACTCAGGACGTGTAAACTAAAAGGGAACATTTGTGTAAACTAAAGCATCTTTTATACTACATGAATTAGTCGTAGTATCTACCTAAAATTAAATATACCATTTTGCGAATGCATCTTTAGTTGTGTTCTTTTTAAATAAAATAATTGGCTACATCAGGTATATACAGATATGATGTAGTCCTATAATATCAAAAGCCAATTTAAAACTAACAGATTTTATACGATAGTTTGAATTGACGTATTTTAATACTAACAATTACTTTGAACCTTTGAACATACGCAAGAATTTTATTGACTTAGCACGATAATTTGTCAAATGCACCATAATTTTACACAATCCCATAATTTCGCTTCGTAAATAACTGTGGTAACACTGTTTCTACCCCTCCTACATCTCCGTTAATGTTTCCCGTCTCGTCAAAACCATTTCTTATCCCAGGTCGAAGTTCTACCCCCCGAACACAACACAATCAACTCAGAAACTTTTAAATTGACTCCATTTATCAGTTTATTGTCTGTTTTGGTTCCATTGTTATTCTTTCTTTGTTTCCTTTTTGATTAGCCTGATCGAGTTTGTCTGTAGGCAGTTTTTCTGGGAATTTCTTTTGATAGTATTTGTACGTTTGTAAAATTACTGTAGTGTATTGAGTGTATGTATAAAATGAAATATTTGACATATGTTGACGACCTACTCAAATTCTGTTATGAATATGCTTTTATAAAAAAAAACTTCTGATGTTCTGCCCTATTACGTATTGTAATTCTAGAAAAAAATCTAAAATTAGCGATAATGGTTCAAAACAGTTTTTAAAGATTTCATAGTATCGCTTGTCTATTTTACATTTTTAGTTGAGTGGGATTTTAAAACTCGAGTAATCCGAAACGTGGAATCGCTTCGCACCTGAATAAGAAAAACTGTAAGTAGTTTCCGGTTTCAAAATGGAGCAGGCAAAACAATAATATATTCATCCAAAAGTTAATCTCCGTGAAGACCAATCAATATAAGCATCAAATGAACGAAAACTGATTAACTGTTTGAAGAATCGCCAAGCTACTAAAAGCATGGAAAAGAAATATGGTGGCATTTAATCTTTAAATGACAACAATGAAACAGCGAAACAGCTGATTGCAAGCTGACTGGCCCGAGGTGCAAGTACAAGTGAAGGTCGTTCGCCAAAACCTCGGCGGTGAATGAGCGCCGCGTCAAAAGATAGGAATGCGCGTCGGTCGTTGCACCTAAGGGGGGAGAGGGGGGGGGACGACGTCACTTCCTGCACGACTACGTCACCGTCATTACCGTGTCATTATATCCATTATCCACCATGTCGAGATGGTACCGTACTGTCGGAGATGCTTTGTTGATGGTGCCAGCGGTACTGTCAGTGTAGTTGTAGCCTACAAGACAAATGTAGCCTACATTAACATTCTTTCACAAAAAAACTAGTATTTTTGTTATCTTTTATTATTTTTCTTTAATACTGTACCAGTTTCGATTGTTCTCCAGCATGTACATAGAGATTTGAACGGTTTATGTCAACTTCTGTTAATGATAATGATAAAAGATGCTACAGTAGAACCTCAATAACAAGACTCTCTTGGGGAAATAATACTTACAGTATTATGAAAGTTGGCTTCTTATCGAGGTTAGCAATGACATATTGTGATTAGAGATAAAATGAATTCTAGGGTTGAATTAAAATGAATTCTTTGGGATTTTAGAACTACACTTGATATAGAAGTCCAACTCTTTCCTTTGTAAAAAATAAAGCAGTACATGCCAACATTGAATTAGATAATACAATTTGCTGTCTATTAAAACTGGATTCAACAATAAAAGTTTGACTCGCTAAGAATTTTTTTTTATAGGTCCACAAGCAAAAGTAAAATTCGTCCACGATGAAGTATCAGAGAATCTAATAACACGATTCTATGATTTTGGCAAAGTTTAAGACTTCTCCCAGATTATTGATAACGACATTTGTTTGGTTTGATGTTAATTTCATCTCTATGTTCTCTGGAGTGTCTCCCTATGGAAGTAGTGTTTCAGTATCACTTATAGAAGGGGTCATTGAAAGGGTTATTTCTGTTTTCTATACTGTGTGTACTATGTGTTCAAACCATCGTTCAATATTTTTTCTCTGCTTCACGGTTCAAGTTTCCAAGTAGACAGAACCAGTCGTACCAACCTCACCGTGTCGTATTGTTGTATGCCTTGGTACGCCGGAGCCGGAAGTTGGCATCACTTCTTCCTCTCTCCTAGCTTACTACGGTTCCTGGAATTGTTACGCACGATGGCCAATATAATTTTACTCATCTCTTCGTGGAATTTTCTCCCGCCGAATTTGCCCATTGATTACTCACAAGTCGCAAATCACGTTTTGTTGAGTCAGTAGTCAGTTTGTAGCGTGAAGTCGTAGTGTTCAGTTGTGTTTACTGCTCAGCACGGTACTGTATGTTGTTGGTTTATACGTTTTAGTCTTGATTTTTGAAATTGTGATCAATTGGTCAATATATATGATTTACAGAAAGTAATAGGCTATATCATAGCACACTAAATTTAGCGTTCCTTGATTTTCTGAGGTCCATTAACCATTTTTATTTTTAAAACCTCCTAATAAATATCTCTTGAAACACCTAACTCCATTCTTGTTGTCTTGTTGAACATTACACCAGCTCCAACTCCCTACTTCTGATTCCTATAAGTTTGTAGTCTGCATTGGTAAGTTGTGTATTTGGTGTTCAAAAATATATTTAGTAATTAAAACCTTCTGATTATGACTTGACATAACCTATATGCAATATGTTGCAGGGCTATCAAAGCGTTCCAGCAAGTGTTATACGTAGAGCCGAGCTACTCCCGAGCCAATGAGGTCCATCTTCGTCTTGGGTTGATGTTCAAAGTCAACAATGACTGGGAATCTGCATTGAAACACCTTCAACTATCACTCATAGATACTAGCCCTTCTACCTTCTCTAAACTTGAGAGTAAGTGTAGTTATAGTCTGTATGATGGAGCCTGTCTCCTTACCCTTCGTCTATCCTGGACCTGGCATAGGCCTTAAACTTTTGGCCAGTTCCCAGGTAGACAGTGTAGGTCGATTGTCAAAGGTAGATCTTTTACATGTAAAATATTGCTAAAGTGAAATGTTAATTCCATAGTCATAAAACGACCACAGAGAAAAAAGGTACAGTGAAAACTTGCTTATGGGACGACTGTGCACTTTCAGCTCTAGTATGTTATGCTGAAAATATACTTGCGACTAGCTCGAGGGTTAAGCACTGTGCGGAAATCCTACAACGGTCATGGTGGTATATGATGGTGAGGGCCGTTTTTACATTCGCCCTAGACATTAGCACTAGTGCTAGACACCACTTAAGGCTGTGGTTTCCTAGACGCGTAATAGATGCGCTGCGTGTGCGCATCTAAGACGCAGCACACTTGTCTTGTGGAGTTTCGTGTAAGCGGTTCCAAGGCTGCGTATCTAATGCGCGCGCATCTAATACGCGCGCACCAATAGCTGCGTATTTGGCCGACTGCTTTCAGAGCAGTCAAATCTGAGTTACGCTGCGTTTTAGACGTGTCTTGTGCAATGAATTCGGAAGTAAATGTAAACAACGACGGAAAACTGATTGAATTTGTCTCTTCTAACGACATATTATGGAAGTACTTTGTTCATACAATTAAAATGTTATAGTATTATATTTCATATCATTCGTTATGTAGTGTTAATTTCCCCATAATGTGTAATTTTAATATTCAATTCCTTTGTTACATGTTCCCTACAATTAATTAGTTTATCCTCACATTTTTTCTTATTGTTGTTATTAGTAAATAAACCTAATGTTGACAAATATTCTTTTCAAGTCAGCACAACACCAACTCCCAAATATAAGAGCCCCCATAATTATTTTAAGAACTCCTGAACATCTTAGTAATAAGCCGATACTGTATTAATTACTAGTATTGTACCCAAACTTCTTACGGGGTTGGCGTATAAGTATAAAATGCTTATTGCAGTTATACTTGTAAAAGGTATTTTCATCGATTCGGTAAATCCCGAATAGGTAAATATAATAACAGTAAAAGCAAAGTTGGGCAGGGTAAATTAAGATTTATTGTGTTTGCTTTTTTAACACTACAGTTAAAAGATCCACGAGGGCCACGTACAGTTCCTAATCATGTACTTTTTACTGCTTACGCTTCTTCAAAGCTTTTAATACCAAAATATCCATTTCATTATCTAAATCATCGTATAACATCATAGTAGCCACTAGTTACCTCTCCCGTGAAACTTAAGTTAAGCACCAACTGTGTGTATTGTACGCAGTCTAGGAAACCACTCACGGCAGCTGCGTTTTGGGACCTGGATAAAAGACGCAGCGCATCTAAACCGCTGCGCATCTATTACGCGTCTAGGAAACCACAGCCTAAGTGTAGCATTGAATGTTTCCTCTGTACCTTACTTTCTCTATGGAGTGCAAGGCCGAGTGCCATTTGCCTAAACACTTTGACGAGGGTCATTTTACAGCTTGTGGCTTGGAATGTGGTGAGTGCCGGCCAGGTATCAGGGACAGGTTCCACGGTGCGGCGGGTGGAAAGATCGACCAGGGGGCATGAGCAAAATTTGTTTTAGGGATGAAATGAATCTGTTATAACCTACCAACCTAACCTAACTTGCAAGCTGATTATGAAAAAAATGAATGAAGGCTTACTATTAGAATCAAAATTTATTAATTTTCAATCGATATTAGAGTAACCCAGTTAAGAAACTGTACCCGTTCTCCGTTACATTCCATCAATCTCTAATAATACAACCGGAGTTGAATGATTAGAGATCGATGTTACATCCTGCCCACTACACCCCCTTCCACTATTACCCCTCCCCTGAATCACTCTTACACTCTGGGGAGTCAAATGGCACTTGGGCCTATCTGACGGTTTTGACAGTTTATAATCCCCACGGCAAAAAATAGAACGGTACTCTCTCCGTTTCCCTCCTCTATGTGATACAACTTTGGATAAGATGTACATACTTAACTCCGTTTACAAAATTTAGGTGGTTTGAGACAAGGCCCCACTAGGAAAAACGGGCCATGCTGCAGGATCCATGACGTCACACTAGTGGATGGATTTCATTGATAAATTCATTGCCATTGCCATTCTCATATGTTTTAGATCAATAAACAAGCTGGCTGTTTGTAAGATTTTTATTGTAAGAGTTTAGTACAACGATCTATCACTGTGACGTAGTGTTGCGCTGCCCGTGCTGCAGCATGGCCTGTTTTTCTAGTGGGGCCTTGTTTGAGGGGAAGTTCCCCCACAATCTTTTTTTTGTTTGCTTAATATATATTGTTTAGCTATTATTTTAAAGGTAGGTTCAAGTGGAGAGGATAAATTTCATCCCCGAAAACTGTCTAAATGTTGTGAACAGAGTATAGTTGTATAAGTTAGTTGTCATAGGTTGATTTGCCATAAACATAGTAAGTCAATACCATTGACATTTTAAGTTTTAAAAGTGCTCGCCTAGTGAAAAAAAATTCGCCTTGGTGAGTCGGAGGCTCAGTTGGTAGTGTCACGGACATCGGGCCCAAGGCAGTGATGTTGTGGGTTCGGATCCAGGTTACTGCTACAAACATTTTTCAGTACATTTTACCTTTGTACTGTACCGCCTCACCCCTTGCTTTGCTGGATATGTTCCACGCACAGATCTGTAGTCTATGTGGACGGGCAAATGCAAGGTTAAAAGAGTCCGCCAAACTCTTAAAAAAAGTTTGGTGGTTCGATCCTGAGTTTGGATACAACCTTATTGAGAATCATGACAAGTGAGCGTAGGAAAAAAGCTTTAGGCAAAAACAACTTAGCTTTCAAGATAAATAACATTTTTTTGAATACAGTTCCGTACTGTACTTTGAGTAGTTAGCGAATATCACAAGCTTGGAATGTTCCGTCTTTATGCAAAGTTTTTAAAACAGAATTACTGATCAGATTACCTTTTAAATCATTGTTAACCAAAACGGTGTATTTTGACCCCAAAAAGTATTTTATACAGTTGTAAACTTAACTTCTTAAATCCTAATGGTTTCGAGTCTCAGCCAAGAGATGCACTTTAATATGACAATATAGTAGCCTATTTTAAACTGTTACTATTTAACATGTAATAAATAATGGCTTGACTTTAAATACCGGTAAGTTATACTGTCAAAGTGATACCCAGTAGTCTGTAAGTTACTGCAGTTTTTGTTTTCGCCTACAGTCTAACTAGGGATCACTTGGACAGTATAAGGTATTTAAACCATTATTACTATACCAGTGATCCGGAGGCTATTAACATGAAGTATTTAACATGGTTTATCTTTTCACCAAACATTTTGTTCTAATAGTACAATCTGATGTTACAGTAAAATTCCACATCGCTCATCTGTATGAAGTGCAGGGAAAGTACAAGGCAGCCAAGGATAACTACGAGCAACTTCTCAAAGACAAGGACCTCCCTACCCATCTCAAGGCAGACATTTGTAGACAGCTAGGTGGGTAAACTGATATGTTATGATGGTAATTTGTGTAACTAGTGTGCGAAGTGGTACTTTGCGTTCACGTTACACATTATATTTTTCCTACAGTTACTATAAAGCTTATAAATAACTAGTCTTTCAAGCACTATACAACACGTTTTTAGGTTTGGTTAAATCTAAGTGCTGAACGAAATGGGAATCGCTGCACCAGCTGATCGTAGTCGTAGTATGTTTAAGTGTTGCCAACTTATTTTTAAGCGTACACGTATTACGTGCCTAATAAAAGCATAATGTTTTGTGTTGTTTGGTTGGAATGGGCTACTGGAGTGTGACGGTAAAAGTAACTGAATGCAGCAATTTTCTACTTTGCCTGCTAAAATCAGTGCAATTTTGCCAGGTAACTGTAGGAAAATACAATTTGTGGTAAAAGTATTCTATAAGCTTTGGCTACACAAGATAGGAAGTTAACGGCATGACAAAGAAACAGATTCTGATGAATGCTTTCTGAGTTATCAAATAATTGCTGCTACACCAGGCAAGAAACAACACACAGAAAAACAACATGACGTACTACAAAACATGCCACATCTTAAAAGAGCATTCAATCACATTTTCTTGTCATGTCGTTTCGTTTTGCCGTATGTCCTGTCCTGTCCTTTGGGCAGCACTTGGCAGGGAAGAAAACGGAAAGGACATGGACAGTGACTTTCTGGTCGGATGCAATGTGTGGTCAGTCGAGGAAGCTTCGGCTGCTCACACACGCACACTCCCAAAAGAAATTGTTCATGACAGTTTCCGTTCTGTGTCCCATGTAGTGCAGTTCTAGCCCTAGAATTTGTGTCTTTTCGTTTCCTTTTCCTAACGGGTTCCTTTCCTATGTAGAGTAGCATTAAACTTATATTCATCTTAAACTGAGCCAAATACTGTGAGTTTTCATAAGATATTTTATATTTCAAAGTTAGCTGCTGTTAATTGAATCCATTTTTGTAAAAGTGAAATTCATATTTTAATGTCCTTTTGGATCTTTTTTTAATGTATGCGTAATATTAAGACCTTTTTATTCTTAGTCACTTGCTATTTTGGAGCTACAGGATGCAGAAGAACAGAGAAAGCCATTTTTCCAAGATGTAACACACTATAGCTCCTAAACGAGTAGCTTTAGAGAAAAGGTGTGCAGAATGAAGAAATGTTCGGATTCCATTTCATCCTAAAACAATCATAAAATACAAGATGTTCCATTAGACATTTTTAAGTTAGCCACCATACTGAAAATTGGTGGCCATTTTGAAAAAGGTCCAATCTAAACCATCCAATAGATAACAATGATACCAAACGGATACCAACAGATACCATTGGTGGCACAGTTAAGTAGTTCAACCTATATTTCCAATAGGTATATATGAATGTTAAGTATTACAGGATATATGTGTATTCTAATGAATACTTACTCTTCCAGGATGGATGTACCACTGTGTTGAGACCCTAGGAGAGAAGAGCACCAGAGAGAGTCTAGCTATCCATTGCCTGCAGAGGTCTATAGAGGCCGATCCCAAGAGTGGCCAGTCCCTGTATCTGCTCGGCCGCTGTTACGCCAGCGTCGGTAAAGTCCACGACGCCTTCATCGCTTACCGCAACTCTGTTGAGAAATCTGAAGGAAATGCCGACACTTGGTGTAGTATCGGGTAAGTCTTTTTGGCCTCTTTAGACAAAATAGGCTTAACAAATTTGTATTTTATTTTGGGTCAACATTGGTTAAAATCGTAATGGGTTTGAGAGTTGCCTTCTTTTGATACTCAAACATATGTCTACTGGTTGTGTTAGTAAATTTGACTTGTAACACACAACATTTAAAAACCTAGGTCCTAGAGTTCAGATCACAGTGTGACTGTATAAATCAATAAAAACAATTATCAAAGACAAATAGAATTCAACTACCAAAACTATTTCTACAATGAGCTGATAAACGTTTTATTGGCTAACATTTGTTTGTGTGTCTCTGCAGGGTTCTCTATCAACAGCAGAACCAGCCTATGGACGCTCTACAGGCCTACATCTGTGCTGTCCAGTTAGATAAGAGCCATTCAGCTGCCTGGACCAATCTAGGTAACTACATCATCCCTTTACTATACTCCGTTCACAAAATTAAAGGCGATTTCAGGTCAAGAAATCTATCCCCTCCACTTAAGCCTTCCTTTTAAATTAATAGCTAACAGCTGATGTTTGCCAAAATATAAATCAGATGTGCCTTATTGAAATAAGAAGTGTAAAAAAGTAGTGTGTGAACTTCCTCACAAACTGTCTAAATTTTGTGAATGTAGTATGGTTCATAAACTAACAAAATAATGACAGCAAAATTTACCAGGTTTTCTCACTGATTTTGGGGTACTAAAGTAAATTTAGGCCCTACCATCACATGGACCAGCTGTTGCAAAATTTTCTATTAAAAAAGGAAGTAAATAAAAGTTGCAATAATTTACAATAAGTCCTACTAACAGTTTGGTTTGGTTCAAACGTTGGTGTATTCAACAGAAATCAACAATTTACATCATCATGCTCTGTCGGTGGTTCTATTCAATTAAAATTTGTATCCCAAAACTAGTCACAACTTTAACTAGAGAATGTAATCTTAAGTTCTATACATATAATCTTAGGTTTAATTAAGTTTGGTTAGTAAGTAATCTGGTAAGTAGGTTAATCTAATATATCCTTACCTGATAATAGTGGTATGGCGTTATTGCGTACAACAAATTCTTCATCGTAACTAATATCACATTCTGGTCCTGAATAAATTAATGACTTAATAAGCTATAACGTTTTCTTAACTTGTAAACTATATCTTAGTATTATTGCCATTTTCAAATTAAGGAACAAAAAACTTACTTGCATAGTTAATCGTCTAAGCAATGAAATAGATTAGGCCTTGGTTTTACTATGATTTCTACTGCAACAATTTCAATGACGAGAGATACATCAAAATTATGTTTCAACAGGAATCCTATACGAGAGTTGTAACCAGCCCAGAGATGCTTACGCGTGTTACGTGAACGCCACTCGTGGGGGAGACAGCGTGAACAACAACGTGCCGTCCGTGTCGCCGCGCACCGCACACTTGCCAATGAACCCTAACCTCAGCCAGAGGATCAAGTTCCTACAGACACATCTGGGAAACGCTCCGATGCCAAGCATCACCAGCAAACGGAGGCAGTTGCCGTCGATCGAGGAAGCATGGAACCTACCTATCTCTGCGGAGATGTCGTCGCGACAACAACAACAACAGAGCAACCAGCCGAGAAACGGGCATCAGAAGGTAAATAACACATAACGTTTTACTAATATTGGTAGTAGTCACAATAAATTTAAACAGCTTATAAATTTAGGATTGTGTTAAGAATGTAACCATCTAAACATCTTTTGAGGATTGCATCAATTTCCGTATTTATGTCGTACATCAAACCAAAAGAAAAGAAAAGAAAAAACTATACGATTCAATTTCTAGTGTCGTATGTTTTAGTTGATTACCATAGGTTGAATACATAGACTGCAATATACAATTTACTTCACTGGCTTTATTTGCATTGTATTCACTGTGCTTCAGTAAACTTTTTCATACCGATTTTACTTGGATAAGGACTTCCTTCTTATGTAAGGATCCGATGTGTCGTGATGTGTAAAAGGTTTTTTAACCTTAATGCAAAATGTATGTGGTCTCTTTTAGGTTTGAATTCATGTTCATTTAGGTCTAACGGCTCTCACTTTTTAAATAGAAAAAGCACCACTAAGAAGCATTGTATGCCGACTTGAAGCTTAGTTTAGTAATATAACAAATGGTTTTTTGTACACATTGTAAGTGTCCTGTTTTCCTCTAGCAGAGTCAGATGTTGACCCCCACCAATGGCCACCATCAAGTGTCGCCTCAAGGTCCTCCTCCCCCCTACCCCAACCAGCAACAGGTTGCCGCTCCTAAGAGGTTTAAGGTATGTACATACTCAATTCAAATTGTAGTATGTGGTTTGTTTTATGTGATCTTGATTCAATTTAATAAAATATAACTACTTAGCCCTTGGTGTAAAACTGCTCAATTCATCATGCTATACATATTTCAAACTTGTTTTCTTTCATAATTAGCAGAGTTTGTAGAGATGACATGGATTACAGAAGAGTAAAGTACAGATGAAACACTCAGTAGCTTCCATTAATCAGCTGATCAGTACCAGTTGGTCACACAGCTTTGTTTGGATATAGTTTCCTCATGCTTATCTGCAATGTACCTCCAAGTAATGTGGTGTGTTGTTGTTGCAGACGGAACCCCAAGAGGTGCCTGGCAGAGTGCCTCCCCATACTACACCTAGCCCTGCACCCACCCCTGCTCCTGCCTATCTGAACCAGCAACAGCTTCACATGCTGCAGATGCTGCAACAGAATGCAGCCAACCTCAACCCTCAACAACAGGTACAAATACATTCCATTACTATGGAAAATGTATTTGAGTGTCCTGATGCAAATTTGTAATAACATAAACAAATCAATTATCAATCATTGAGATGGAGATGCCACTTTGTATTCCAAATATGAGCAATGGATGAGTGTGGAATGAAATAATTACAATGATGGCCCAAAAGTCCGTTCTTTTTGAAAGTAAACATGTTTGTATAATTATTTGAATGGAACTGTTCAACCATATGTCAATGTTGTTAGTATAGGATTCGGGCAAGTGACATCATGTGTTTAAAGGTTTATGATCCCTAATTTTCTAATAATCGTGGCTTTTCCCATTCAGGTAAGCCTATCATCTTAAAAAAAAACCTTGCCACCCCCATCCCCATCCTTGTGCTCTACTTTACATACAAAGTTTTCATATCTACCATAACTGAGTGGAATATCTTCAGTCGCAGCAGCTAATACAACATGTATGTTACGCAGCAAGTACTTCAGACTCTGCAGCACCAGTTCCGTCTTATGCAGCAGCACCAGATGAGACTACAGCAGCAGAGAGCGGCGCAGGCTAGACTACAACAGCCTGGCGCAGCGCCAGGAACGTTTCAACAATCCGTTATCAAGTCTTACCCTCACCAGCAAGGCACAGTCGCACCACAGACTCTCAGTACAGACAATGTGGTGGGAGGTTACATGGCAGCCACCCCCTCCTCCCCAGGGCTGTACAAGGCTGCGACTCCGGGCCAGTACCAGTACCATCCCCCTGGTACACCCTATGCACAGGTAGGCTACAAAACATGAAGTGAAGAGTCATGCTAGTTTTTTTTAGGAGTCTGAGCGTGTCTTAGTCAAGTGTGGTAAGTCTAAGTCAAGTGTAGTGTTTTAGTTGGCTGGCAGTGAATTTTTAACTTGATTTATCTAATTAGCCATTTATCTAATAACTTTTTAACATTGATCTAATTAGTTTTTTTTTTGTGAATGAACGTTGATAGTACCACGGACTGTTAGATCAAGGTAGTGTTTAATGTTTAATGTTGTAGTACATCAGTCGCTGATGAATGTTTGAGCCTACATTTCAAAGCGTAGGCCTATAGGTTCATCATCAATTATTCATTGTATCAATATACAAAAATGTCAACACTGAACACAAACATTTTTATTTATATTTATCATGGAAACATAATTTTGACATGTCTACCTGACAAATACAAAATGATTGTATCCATACCGGATGATGAAACTATACTAGGATTCAAAATATACATATTCGACAGTCGTCAATAATTGTATAATGTAAAAACATAAAAGTTCAAGAACCGAGATTATTCCATTAACAGTTTAGGAGGCAATCAATTCTACTTTTTAGGGAAATTTGCTATGTTAACAGGCTTACCTGAATAGATCAGAGTCCAAAATCTGGCACAAGAAATACAAATAAAATCAATATCACCGACAGTATTTTCAACCAAGGAATGTTTGTGTTTCTTCTTTAAGTGGATTGTTTAATAATTCTGTTAAGCCTGCTAGCCTGACAATTGTAAACACCCAACTCCTTCTTTATGTCACGTGTTCTAACCTGTGCATGTTTCAGCAGCAGTTGTCGTCACCGAGTGTGCCTGTCGCCAAGACTCCCACACCAGACCTCGTAAGTGACCAGGAGCTGCAGGCGTTGTTGTCACAGAAGGACATAGCTACATCCTTGGCTGAGGATCTACTCAAACACTTTGAGTCATCCGGACCTTCGGAGGAACCGGTGGACAGCAAGGAGCAAGTGCAAACCTCTTCAGGTTAGTAATAGTCGCATTGGTTTCAAAGTACCATCATTTTTGGTTATGTTTAATGTTTTGTGGAGTTTCCATGTTAAGATTTTTTTCCATACTGTACAGCTGATCTTAGTCAGTAACAAAGTTACACAGATCATCTTACAACATGTTACAATCATCCTACACTCTTGGGTTGAAATATGCAATTAGATGTTGTCCCCATCTCAATTGATAATGATAATGATACAAGTCTTCTTGGTTCTTAGATCAAAAGAATATTGAACAAAACATCCAACTATAGTAAATCCATTGACTTTGGGGTATATCCTATCAATATTACCAGCTGTTTACAATGTTTTATCATAAATGGGTGTGTTGCTATCCTAGCGGTTAGCGTCTCGGACTTAGATGCGGGAGGGACGGGTTCAATCCCCGGCACATCCACAAAACTTTAATGGGTTTGAACCGCTTTCCCTTAAAAGTGTTTGACTTCATTACAAAAATGTCACTGGCTTAGATACGAGAAAAAAAGGAAAAAAAACATACTCCCTTAATAGATTTCTCATCCTTATGGAACAGCTGAAGACAATTTACGGTTTATGTAGAGGTCGTGTTTTGTTTACAATTTGTTTCTCGTTATTACAGTAATTTAAAACCTCGTTTAACCAAATAATACGATCTATTCATAAACAATAACTTGTCCCCTAGTTATGTAACCAAACAGTAAAGCACAAATCAAGAAATTAACCCTAAAATAATAGAAACAAAATTTCGTCGACACTAGTGCCCAGTGTCACCCACCGAAAAACGTGCTTCACAATTTACAATGGGATGAGAAGTCTACTTGTGTTGGTTAGTCTATGGTTTTATTCAACTCATGATTTAATTAGTCACTCACAGAATGCACTTCTGTCAAAATATGATATTCTCCTTAATTTTTTTGTGCTACGATATTCAACATTTAAAATATGCTATTGTTAATGATCAGTTTTCCTTTCAGTTAGTCTTTGGTAAAGTCGGCGTATATGACAGGAAACAAAAGTTTATTGACATTTGCGTTGGATCAATCCAATGTTTTTTTTTTAATTCTAAAGGTTTTCAATTCTAGTTCTATAAATTTTACACACTATTCATTTTAGACAAGTCTCTGGTACTATGTTTTTAAGGAATAATGTCAGCTCACTTTTGTGTTTTGTGATGTAAATTGGCAAAACATGGTTATTTATATCCACCCTAAGTATTACTCATCTATAAAAAACCAGGACACTATGACAGGAAGTAAGGTTGTTATCTCTTGTCTCTTAGATAAAGATATCTCTGATCTACCAAATGTGTCCTAAATTACCTTAGTGTTCAGGTTTAGGTTAGTTATAACTTACATTCACATTGTGATTCAATTTATGTGTCCAATTGATAACCATTTCTTTCAGATTACTTATTTCAAAAAATATTTTTAAAACTTTATCTCAGTTTTCAAAAGTTAGTCATATGTGAAAGTAGTCAGATGGGAATTTATTTGTTGCTTTTGATTTTATGATTCAGGTTTGACTTTGTTTACATTACTTATTTTGAAGTAGAGTTATAATTTCCTGAAGGTATGTTTATTTTTGTTAAGGGAAATTATGAAATTTAATGTAAAAAATGTATTGAGAGTGTCTCGGTTTTTCATTAAAAGAATGATGTCCAATTATAAAATACTTTCATGGTTAATCTTTATACAAATGGGACAACTTGAGCAATGTTGAGTTTATAAACTAACAGGGAAATATTTCTAAATGCATAACTCAATAACTCGGTTATACAGCCAATTTGGAGAATATACATTGTATTAGCCAAGTCAACACTATATCTAATTAAACTATTGACTATCATGTTGATTGAGATACGAAGTAAAATTCATTGGTACTATATATCAGAAGAAATTATTATCAAATTACATTGTAGAAGCAGTTATCCGTGAGAAATAACTAATAACTTTGAGTATCTGGTAGACCAGCTCACTCCCCGCCTCTTGTTAAAAAATAACAAAAATACCCTAGTTTTTACGAGTAAATTGTGTTCCAATGATTTTAATGTTTTTGTTCTGTTTCAGACCAACAGACGCTAAGCTCTGGTCCGTTTTCTCCGTCCAACCTGCCGCAACCCGCAGAGTCACCAAAGCCTAAACCAACGCCTTCCCCCACCCTCGCCTCCAGCCCTGCTCGACCACCCTCTGGTAAGTCAATGGATCTGTTGGAAACTACCATTTCGTTCCTTACATTAGATTTTTTGTTTTAAAGAAGCTATTTTATCAACCTGTGGTCCATATAGGATGAGAGTTTATATGGTAGGCATATAACCGATTAAGATTTTATGGAGTCTTATGGTATAAATATGGGATTGTAAACTTGGGATTGACATATTCTGAAGTCGACTTGATGATCATAATTCTAACCATAAAGTTTTTGGAAAACAAGAACACGTTGTGTGGGTCACAATGTAACAAAGTATCGAACTTAGTGAAATAGTAGTCATAAATAGGATCAAAACAAATTGTACAATAATAATAAAGGGTCGAATACCGTACTAAAAGATTTGTTCCACTGTTCTTTTTAAAATTCCTCAAATTTTAAATCAGCAAAGTTGAAGTTGTTTTTGAGTGATGGGGTGGTTAATAGTTATTTGTGCAACTAGTGAGAAAAGTGAGCAATTGACTCACTCGAGAGAAATCCTTACTCACGAGCCGTAGGCGAGTGAGGAATGGTTTCTCGAGTGAGGCAATTGTACTTTGAACTCGAGTTGCACATTATACTTTTCCTACAGTTACCATAAAACAAATAAATTTGTGAAGAAACATAACCTATTTTTACACAGAAGTGAACTTTTAATATAACATTTAATGTGAAGTGACAAATACAACAGTACAACATCTGACCAGCTGATTTACAGCCAGTGCTGCCAACGTATTTTGCACGCATACGACGTTGCCTGCATGTTACGCGCTCACTATTTCGTGCCTTCACGTTGCAAATCTGGAGTGAGACAAAGTAATTAGAGTGAGACAATGTTAACATTGTCTCACTGATGAGCGAATTGGCCACTTTTCTTTCTCAAATCAGTGAGAGAACATGTACATTGTTAGGTAACTGTAGGAAAAAAGATTTGTTTGTAGTAATATTGATTTTCATCGAGTGTTTTGTTACAGTAAGCTCAGTCAAGTCGGAATCACAATCCCAAGATCGTCTGAAGTCTCCGTCTCCTGCTATCAAGGAAGAGGATCGTCTTCCTTCACTCGTTGACTCTCAGTCGGACGTGGAGTTCTCTATTGATATGGATGCAAAGACTGTGATGGAAGTGTGCAAGTGAGTGCAAACGTTCAACCATAGATCAAACACTCCCTTAATAGATTTTTCATCCTTATGGGAAAAAAATCTAGCTGAAGCCAATTTTATTGTTTGTTCTGTCTGGTGCCGCTAGGGTCGTGTTTTTGTTTACAATTTGTTTCTTATTATTTCAGATATTTAAAACCTCGTTTAACCAAATAAAACTATCTAGTCATAAACAATAACTCGTACCATATGTAACCAAAGAGTTAAGCAAAAATAAAAAATATCCCCACATAATTTTTTTTCGACACTAGTGATCAGTGTCACCAACATGAATTCAAAACAACAATCAAGCTTCAAACTTTACAATGGGATGAGAAGTCTAGGCCTACTTGTGTTGGATATTGGTTAGTCTTTGGTTCAACGTAGGTTCTACTCAACTTATAATGCAGTGATGGTCTATTTTGATTAGGTTTGGTTAAGTTGCATCAACCTGATCTAAAATATTAATTGCTTCTTTAGTGGGAATGAACCACAGCACTCACACAGTTTACAATAAACCCGTGTGCAATAGATCACAGTTTGGACACAAATCTAATACAATTAAAACTGATATTTCTGTCCCTGACTTCATTTGCCTAAACATTGTGGACAACAATGGCTACTGAATGTCAAGCAACCCCTCTCTCCACTACTCTGAGAAAGGGAAGGTCGGCCGTGTAAACATTTCAGTAGGTCAAAACGTCGAGAGGTTAAGCCGATAGCTGGACTATGGCGTCTTTCCAAGATCACAATACTTGCCTAGAGTCTTACATTGTATTTACTAAAGTTACAGATAAATGAAATATTAACTAGCTTACCTTAGAGTACTTTAATCACGGTTTTTATGTGTTTTTCTGTGAGTACTAAGACCTACCTAAACCTTTTCTAAGGTAAGCTAAGTTGCTGTCTGTTAAAAATTCACAATCTTCCCCTAGACTGATTGATTATTGCCTTGACAGAGGGAAGGGTCTGCATGGCCTGACCAACTGCAGTATACTGAGTGACCGAGGAGCGCCGCCCCAGCCACCCGACCCGCCTACCACCCGGCTCACCCGGGAACAGCTGTTGCCGCCCACACCCTCCGTGTTCCTGGAGAACAAGAAGGACGCATTCAGCCCTCAGCTGCAGGAGTTCTGCCTCAAACATCCGATTGCGGTCGTTCGAGGATTGGCAGCAGCACTCAAGCTGGGTTTGTGCTCATTTTTGTAGTAGAGTTAAAATGTTTTTTGTATTAAGTAGTTGTCGCCGCATAAAGGAAAGTTCTTTAGGGTAATCATAAATAAATTAAATTTCCTCATTTTATTCTCAAATTAACGTTCACCCCGTATCTTCAAACAAGATTCCACCGCACATACCATACATTTTTGGTCTTTGGACCACAACACTTCAAATTAAATTATACACTTCCATTCACCAATGTTTTGTCCTGGATCTAGAGAACTATTCTCAGGTTAACTTGACTTCCACACAGTTGACTTATAAAGTTAATTGTTTTGAGGGTAAATTTTATACATTGACTACAGAATGTAAGTAATCCTGAAGATGGTACTAAATATCAATGTTTTTTTGTTTACAAACATACACTTCACTAACAAGTGAAGACTGCAAATTTATTTTACCACCTACATTTGTCTAACAAATACTGATTTGACTCACATTTCTAATACTTCATTTGTTTCACAGACTTGGGTCTGTTCTCGACCAAGACGCTGGTTGAGGCCAACCCTGACCACACTATTGAGGTTAGGACGCAAGTGCAGCAGACTTCAGATGAGAACTGGGACCCGCAGTACCCAGGCAAGCGAGTATGGGCTTGCATTAGCCATCGTAGCCACACCAGCATAGCCAAATACGCTCAATATCAAGCCTCCAGCTTCCAGGATAGTCTCAAGGTAAATATTATCACTATAGCACAGAGAAGTAAGGTACAGAGGAAACATTCAATGGTAAGTGGTGTCTAGCACTAGTGCTGGTGTCTAGGGCAAAGTCCCACACCGTCCCTATAGCCCTCATGTACTATAACGCTATGTGCCGTCTGCAATAGGAATTTCCACACAGTGCTCATCGTTGCTCTTCCTTGCTCGTCACAAGTATATTTCTGGCACAACATACTAGAGCTTAAAGCACATGGTCGTCTCATAAACGTGTTTCTTCTATACCTTACTTCTCTGTGACCAAACCAGGGAAGTGGATATATTGCTTGCTGGTTTGATTCTGAAAAAATCTGAATTATTAGTTGTTTGAAACTGGACATAGCTGTCCTTGATCGTCAAGATATTAAATGGTCCTGTCAAAAGAAACAGCTGGTCTTCACCAATGAACGCAAACACTAAGTAAGCAGTAAGATGGATCAGTGGCATATTGTATGTTCTTAAACCGAATTTGTAACTAACGGGAGCTGTAATAGCCGAATTCTAACTTTGTATTTTGTTTTCATCTTTTCCCTACTAATTATAAAGTTCCTTCACATAGCCACAGAAAACATACTACTATAACCCAGAATGCCAACCGCATGGTAAAAAGCATTAAGTATTTTGAGAGAGCTTTGCCTGTCAATTCGTAGGCAGCGCCACCAGCGTTGCTATGCTGAGTGCATGGCAACACTGGTGGCGCTGCCTACGAATTGACAGGCAAAGATCTCTCAAAACACTTAATGCTTTTTACCATGCGGTTGGCATTCTGGGTTATAGTAGTATGTTTTCTGTGACATATCTCAGTTTCAAATTAAAACTTAATGGTACTATCTATTATAAGGTTGAGGGTAGACCTTCAGAAGTTTGTACCGTGGACACAAACAAATCTTTAGATAATCCATTGTCGATCTATGTTGTGCAGGAAGAACGAGAAAGAGCCGCAGGTATTCACAACCCTTCCGCCAACAACAGCAACAACAACCTGTCGGACTCGGACAGCAAAGACTCGACGGGCACAGTGCGGCGGAAAAAAGGGCTCTTGGTAAGTCTCTGTCTCAGTGCGGAACGGGATATCACGTCAGTGCGGATTGTGTAGAACAGCGTAGAAATAGGCCAAAGTCACTGTAAACTCTGTGTAAAACGGAATCAAATAAGACCAGAACAAACTTTAATAGGATAAACATTTTTAAGTTAAAAATATAAAGTAGTAAAGGTTTTGATACTGGATAGAACTAAAGACATTCTATACGTTAAAATGGTTGACAATTTGAGAATGAAAATAAACATTGAATAGAGCCACTGACAGGTTTGTTTGTCAAAAACTGTGCTCTTATTCCACCATAAAAATAACAATAATAAAGTCTGATCACAATAAAATTCCAATAATATTCTCCAGATACTGTTACAAATAGCTTTTGTTTAAAAGTAAAACAGTTTTAGACTTAAGTTGACTACATTTTTCTTTGGCCTATTTGTAGCGGGTTTTACTGTTTATTTTGCATGAGAATATTTGCATTTGGATACGTTTACCTGCTAAACTATCTAAAAAGACTATATTCTCTTAGATTAACATTTCGTCCAGATGTTTAGTTTACTATAGCTACTCAAAAACTCTAAAAGTGATAGAAATAACATTAACATTGTGTACGGTTTCAAACTATTCATCATGGATTTTCTCAAAAGTGATTTGCCAGTTTAGTTTTTTTAAACTATGAAAATAGTTGTTATGATTTTAGTGTATTTGTTTACAATGCTGTAATATGTAATGTCTGTTTAGTAGTCGGAGCCAATGAACTTCATCTTTTATAATAATTAGTTTGACCGACAACACGATAACACATTCAATATGACATAAAGCCTAAATGTGACTTCAACTGATTTTTGCCTAAAACAATTAAGTGACGAACAACTAAAGGTTTAAATGAAAACAGTAACCAAACCATCGATCTAGCGAAAAGTTGTTAAATCACCGACAAACGTCAAACAAAATTTGATTACCTGTCACATTTAAATAGAATCAATATTGAAAACATACGCTCATGTACATTTCGAGTGATATTTCAGCAAATATCATGTTCTCTGCCAATACATTTCAATAATATTTTTATAGAAATAAAATATTTCCGCTATAAAAATGTAAAAAATAATGTTTAAGTAAAATTAAATCTGACCTTAAATGATTTTCTGTAACCTCAACAAAATTTACAGCCATAAGAGAAAATATTCTTTGTGCGTAATTTATAGTTTTCCACTACATTAATGAAATCATACTGAATATTGTTTTTTTTTATATAACGTTGGCTGGATAAAATAGTCCTATATTTTATTAATTCAGAATATTAGTACCAACTTCAGGCTGCAGTCTAAAATACCCGATATACTGCATTTTACAAACCTAGCTTTTCACTTCAAAGAACAAAAAGTCAAGCTTGATCATTGGAAGATATAATGAGTTGCTATTGAATATCAATGTAGATTTCGACTCCCAAAGGAAAGATAAAAGGCAGAATTTTAGAAGTTGGAGAATTATAAAAAAAAAACAAAAAATAAAGCTCTAACTACAGCAGCATTTGACATTCAAAGTATTAAAATAGGACATCACAGAAATCAGGACCCATTAGGAAATGCATTTTCTTTAACGAAGAGAAGATATATTTAATACCCTATGTCACAATGATTTCAAATGCAAACAGCGTACAAATCTATAACATGCAGTACCAATTATTCATCAGGGGCAATTGTTTGGTAAAAGCTTGGACTGAAAATAAAATAATATACTGCATCCAAAGAAATTTTGAACCGGACATATCGGTTGTGTCTTCTATCTGAAATATAAAACAACAAAACATAGAAATCAACATACAATAAAGCTCAAACCAAGTATTAAATTACAAGATTTTACTCTTAAAAGGCAACAAGGAATCACAACTGAAAAGTAAACAACCAAACACGTGAGTTCAGGAGTCTGCAAATAACAACAACAAGAATTGAAGGAGTCAAAACAAAATGCTTGTGAAGAAAATTGAAATGAAAGGGAATCCCTGGATTTCGGTTGTATGTTTTCAAAACACATCAAGAGTAAGTAACGAGGGCAATGCATAATCTGTTTCACAGTGGATCCCAGCGAGACGATCGGAGTACTGTGAGTAGTTTGTCACTAGCGGAAACTTAATACATGCTTTATACTAGGTTTACTGTATACTAAAATCAAAATAAGAGATGGCTTACCTTCATCATAGTCAAAATAATGTACAGAATAATTACTTAATTCTCTTTTTTATTTTTCTATATTTTATTTTACCATGTACCAGTGGTTTGTTTATTGCAGTGTGTCCTTAGTAATTTTTGATTTGATCTGGACACATAAACTGCTTTGTAACAAAGATATAATTATGTCCATTCTTTGCTTTTTGCTCAAATTTACCATATCAACTCTAAACCCTGTTGTGACAGTGTTGTCGCAAATCAATCAATCAAATTATCTATCTAACATCTACCAGTCGTTAAACAGCATAACAACTAGCCAACATTAAATGTCAACTTCAACTAGGCTCATTATTCACTCTCAGGGCAAAAAATACCTTCAGAACATTGATGAAAGTCGGCCTTCTTTTTGATAGATTAATGCCAAACACATTTTCTCCAAATGTGTTTAAAATTTTCACACACTAATAGATCTCTAACTGTTACAGGGTCTTGGTGGACTGAAGGCTCCTCCTGGTTCAAAGATGTTGCGGTTTGGCACCAACGTGGACCTATCAGACGAGCGCAAGTGGCGACAACAGCTACAGGAACTGACGAAGCTGCCGGCTTTCGCGCGGGTGGTATCGGCTGGCAACATGTTGAGTCACGTCGGTCATGTCATACTCGGCATGAACACTGTGCAGCTATACATGAAGGTATGTTTCCTATCACACAGTAATAAATAAGTTTTATGTTTTGGAGGAATCTGATTTTCCCAGGTGATTTATGTGTACAAATTATTTAGTTGATGAATTGAATCATTAACTGTTAGTTCTGTATGCTTCTGTTTTTCTCTTTCCATTTTAAATTGGTTGTTTGACTTAAGAGTGCATACTCAATGTAACATTTAGATCAAGAATCGCTGGATGATTTATGTTTTTTATTCACCTCTGCCTTCCTTACAAAATAATTGATTGCAAAGCTAACCTAATGTTCTGTACGAGTAGCGCGATTCTGATGACTGACTACTAAGCGAACACAAGTATTTCTTTTAATTCTTGCAAGCAGAGAACCGTAACAATCACATTCAATTTTATGCCCCTTTCACTTTTAACATTTTTTAAATTTCCCTCAATATTAATCACCTCTCCTCTCTTTTCCTTAATCTATTTTTACCTTGTTTAAATTTTTGTTTGAATCAATTTTATTAACCATAGTAGCTTGGTGGTTGGGTCATAAGCTTCTTTGTGATAAGATAGATACCGACCTTCTGCACCCTCTCAATCACTACTGTCACCAAAGGCTAAACAATCATTTATATTAAAACGTGACTGGGTTTTTTATTTCACGATTCTGAAACAACCACTTGACGGATTTTCATGATTTTTGTGTTGAAAGAAAGATAATTTTGAGAACTAGGGAATGTCGAACTGAAGCCATAATTTTAGTTTAGGCTTTCAGTGTTTTAGAAATTAAGTTTTAAATTTTAAAAAGTCTAGCAGCCGACGCTAACATTCTACTCTAGCTTTTGGTATAATACCGCTGTAAACATTCAGCGTTTTCGACACAAATTCAGGATTTGGATGAAAATGAAATGACATACGTATAATTGACTTATTTATAGGTACTATGTGCAATGCTTCTTTAAAATATTTAGTTTTCCTACAGTTACCTAACAATGTACATGTTCTCTCACTGATTTGAGAAAGCAAAGTGGCCAATTCGCTCACCAGTGAGACAATGTTAACATTGTCTTACTCTAATTACTTTGTCTCACTCCAGATTTGCAACGGGAAGGCACGAAATAGTGAGCGCGTAACATGCAGACAAGGTCGTATGCGCGCTAAATACGTTGGCAGCACTGGCTGTAAATCAGCTGGCCAGCTGTTGTACTGTTGTATCATTAAATGTCATATTAAAAGTTCACTTCTGTGTAAAAATATGTTACGTTTCTTTACCAATTTATTTGTTTTATGGTAACTGTAGGAAAATATAATGTGCAACTCGAGTGCAAAGTGCAATTGCCTAACTCGAGATACCATTCCTCACTCGCCTACGGCTCGTGAGTAAATATTTCTCTCGAGTGAGTCAACTGCTCACATTGCTCACTAGTTGCACAAATATCTATTGTTTTAGTGCAATATAATTTGTTATAACTAACAGCTGGTTAAATAAAATAATATTCTATAGAACTATGAGGTTAGTTTATTTACTCTTTGATTTTGTAATTGATTTTAGGAAATAAGTAAGATTCTATAACCATTGCTGTATACAAATCGAAGCTCTTGAATCTTCAAAAGAAAGATTTTGAACATTTTTTTACTAGACTTTTTGTGGAAAGGTTTGGAAAATAACAATGAAAACATGTTTTAATTCATCTTGGCAGCTTTTTCTTTACTATAAATTTTGAATTGCTTAAACTATGCTTGAATGAGTAATAGACACGCTATATACAGTTTTAATGGACTACTCTATTCCCGTACGTAGGACAGGCCAACAGCTCGTTTTACTTATTATGTAACAGTACTTTGCCATCTTAAAATCAACGCACAGATAAATCAATCATCATGAGTTCATCATGAATCAATGATAAAAGTCAGTTTATTAATTAGATGAAAAAGTTTATAAAGTTTATAATATTTTCCCCAGAATCAAGTTAAACCATAAAGATTCTACTTTTTAATTGCGAATATACCTAAAAAACTTACTGATTATAAACCGAGTCAGTTATTTCTACAACTATTCTATTCCTCATGGCTGTCGGTTCTAAGCGAGTTTTGTCTCGTCAGGTGCCTGGTAGCAGAACTCCCGGACATCAGGAGAACAACAACTTCTGTTCCATCAACATCAATATCGGCCCCGGAGACTGTGAGTGGTTCGCCGTTCCAGACGCTTACTGGGGCGTCGTCTACAACCTCTGTGAAAGGTACCTCATCTCATGATAAAGTAGCAACTTTCTGTAAACATTAGTGCTAAAAGCTGATGGAGCAGAGTTTATATTTAGTTTAAGATTACAGTATCTTGGAATTGAATAATTTCTTATGGAAATGATTCTCTAGTAAACAATCTCAGTAATTTAACACACTACTAAGTTAATTCTGAAAGCATTGTCCTCTTGAAAAATGATTTGCTGTTAAAAAATAAGAAATTAGTCTAAAACTACAAATAAATTAGAAAATATAGCACAGCTCTTATCGTAGGATTAAAAAGTTAATATTAGCATAGCCTACTCATAACATAATATACATTCTCATTTAAAAGGTTGTACCGTCATATGTGATATAAAATAGGTGTCTGATGTAATTCTGTGATAGTTAAAACCAAACCAAAAGGGTTTTTATCGGATTAGTCATTCCATTAAATGAAAATGTTGTTTGTACAGGATAATTTGGTAGGCAGAGTTGGTTTTGTAATGCCACTCAAGTATTTTGATCACTTTTGTGGTCGCTGACTCTCGGACTATGGCTGTCGGTTTTCACTTTATATATTTTTGTTTTCACAGAAACAACCTGAACTACCTACACGGCTCGTGGTGGCCGGCCTTAGAAGACTTGTACGAGGAGAATGTTCCAGTCTACCGCTTCCTCCAGCGGCCGGGGGATCTGGTGTGGGTAAACTCTGGTAAGTGACTTTACACTCATGAACATTTAGGCTGATAAAATCATTATTTCACATTGTGTGTTTTATTTTCTGTAAAAAAAAGTTTGTTGTTAATCATACAACAGACGTAAGGCTTACTTACATACATAAGTCATACTTAAATGCAATCTTTGACTATTTATCTACACGTTCCATTCCCATGCTAAATGTTGTAAATTAATTTTAAAAGACACATGTAAGCATATTCCTTGTCATAGGAATTGTCTGTAACACGTTTAAAGGGCAGTTGAGCCTTGATTATCCAATCTAAAATTAATAGAGGTTTTCCATTGTCAAACTTATTGAAGGTTTTGAGTTTGTCTTCCATCGAAACCATTGACTTTTTCTGTTTTGAAGCTGTCATCTTGGAGCTTCTTTAAATGACATCTGAAAATAGACCTTTACTGTAAAAAGCTGCAAGATGAAAGTCCACTAAGCCACAGATATCTTTTTTTTCACGACCAAAGATTATAGGGAGGTTTGGTTTGCTGCTATGAGTTGACACGGTTTATCATCAGTCAGGGTCATTCAGTGTGTTGAAACAATCAGAAATTTCATATGCAGAGCCTAAACCCTGGCTTGTATCTAGTGGGCACAGTTTTGGGAGGCCTAAAGGGGTTATATCTTAACTCAACAAATCTGATACGATGTAGTCATACCCCACAATTTCACAGTACCCAATTATCTGCTAAGGTTTAGTAACACAAAATGTTCAGTGGCCAAATGTATAACCAAGACTCAATTTAGCTTTCTCAACACCAATTTGAATGTGTCTATCTAGAACCTGATGATATTAAAATGTTTTTGTGTGGCAGGTTGCGTGCACTGGGTGCAGGCTGTGGGTTGGTGCAACAACATCGCGTGGAACGTTGGTCCGCTGACAGCCCGTCAGTACCATCTGGCCATCGAGCGATACGAATGGAACAAACTGCAGAGTTACAAGAGTATTGTTCCCATGATACATCTGTCGTGGAATCTCGCTCGCAACATCAAGGTGTCGGACCCGAAGCTCTTTGAGCTCATCAAGTGAGTAGTGTTTGTTTGTAATAAATTTGCTTGGAAAAAAAGGTTTTTTGATTGTAAAGTACTCTTAGTTGTTAAGATTAGTAAATAAAGATAGTTTTGTGTTTAATTCGAGATTAATGTGTGCAGCTGAGGAATTTAATACAGTACAAAAAATTATAGGGTGTCCAGCCGACTTACATGGTTTTGTATGGGGCCAAGGAATTTAGAATTATTATTTAGCCTTATTGAAATTTATGTATATCTATTATAAAGATCTCTATCTCTATTTTAAACAAGAGGTGGTGTCTGTCTGTCTGTATGATATAGACTCAAAAACTACTGAACCGATTGGGCTCAAATTGCACACAAATAAAGCTACAGCTCCGAGGATATAATTTTTAATATTTTCTTGACACAAATTAGCAATGGTTTAGTGAGTCGGTGGCTCAATCGGTAGCGTCGCGGACTTCGGGCCCAAGGCAGCGATGTCGTGGGTTCGGATCCTGGTCACTGCCGATAACATTTTATCAGTACAGTTCACCTTTGTACTGTACCGGCTCACTCCTTGCTTTGCTGTTAACGATCCAAGCACGGGCGCTTAGTCTATGTGGACAGGCAAATGCAAGGTTAAAAAAAAAAGAAAAAGAAAAGAATTCCTTAGTTTGACGATACCTCTCTTAACAATCATAACTTCCATGTTAACAGACACTGCCTGCTGCGCACACTTCGCCACTGCGCCATGATCCTGGAGTACGTTAAGTCTCGTGGTGTTGAGGTCAGATTCCACGGCCGAGGCAAGAACGAGGCGTCCCACTACTGCGGCCAGTGCGAGGTTAGTATCCAAAGTCGTACACTATCATTTATGATCCATTAATTTCGTAATAGTCCAAGCAGACATAGAAATTCCTTTTGAAATCTATTAATCTGGTCTCATATAATAACAGCACTTTCAAGATTCTCTGTTGTTTTATGTTTTATCAAACAGCTTTGAAATACATTAAATAAAGAATTTGGTAATTATGATAGTAGTTGTGGTTTTGAATGCAATTGACAGCTTTACAATTCTTATAAGATTTTTCTCATTTAATACTTGATTTTGTAGATTTTTAATGTATTTGGTTCTGGTCCAACCAATGTTATGGTTTGCTTAAGTAAAAAAATCAATTTCATTGTAAAATCACCAGTAGGGTGGCTATTGAATTATTCCTCTATCAGGTTTAGGTGGGAAGTAGTACGGTAAGAGAGAAAAGCTTACTTAAGTTTATTGTCAAATCACAATTTCATGTCCAAGAAAATAATTTTTAAATGTAAAAATTTTCCAGATTTTTCAGTTATTATCTAATACGAATGGATATATATATATCTAACGTTACTGGGTTTTTTATGCTCAATATTTATTTACATTAAAATAATATTTTATTCAATCCTACTGAACAAACAACCATAACAACATGCAACTACCTAAATATTTTTATCAATTATAATACATTTCGGTGGATATTTTTAAATCCGATATCTATTCCCGCAGATAAATATATTTCTAGAATAATTATAATTTAAAGATTTCATAAGTGTAAAAGTGTTTACTCCATGGATGAAAGAAATAATAGTCTTCACTTCCTCTTTGTCTAAAGCAAACAACAAAATTGTTGCTCGTAAAATGTAAACAAAAAAAGAAGAAGAAGGTAGCTCTTAATGTTATTCTTATGGGGGAAAATTAAAATGTTTTTTTTAGGATTGTATAATTATTACCATAGATAAAACATACTCCCTTAGTAGATTTCTCATCCTTATGGAACAGCTGAAGACAATTTTATTGTTAGTTCATGTACGGTTTATGTAGAGGTCGTGTTTTGTTTACAATTTGTTTCCCGTTATTACAGCCATTTAAAACCTCGTTTAACCAAATAATACAATCTAATCATAAAAAATAACTTGTACCCTAGTTATATAACCAAACAGTAAAGCACAAATCAAGAAATTAACCCTAAAATAATGGAAACAAAGTTTCATCGACACTAGTGCCTTTGTGTCACGTACATGAACTAGACATGAAAAACGTGCTTCAAAATTTACAATGGGATGAGAAGTCTACTTGTGTTGGTTAGTCTATGTTATTACTGAACAAATAATCTCCAATGACGAACTTAACCAAGATAATATGATAAAGAACCTTTGTGCAAAACATCAAGTTGATATACTTAGTCATTCTCGAGTTTTTGAATTTACAAGAGATGCTTTTCGTACCAGTATAAGAATTCACTTCGTTCATTCAATTAGAATCATGGTCTAGTAAATAAACTTATTATATATTCTGTATGGTTTTGTCTGCGTTCCTTGTGATCTCAGACATTAATGCCAATGAAACAGGTTCAATCCTTGGCGTTTCACAACAATTCCACAACATTCTAAACAGTTTACCACTTTTCTTTTCCTACATTGTAAATTACACTCACAAAATAAAAGGTTTAGCTCTATTGCATCATCATGTTATGTTTCAGGTGGAGGTGTTCAACATACTGTTTATCCGAGAGCAAGAGAAGCGGCACGTAGTCCACTGTCTGGATTGCAGCCGCAAGCAAGCTCCCAACCTGGAGGGCTTTGTGTGTCTGGAGGAATATCGGATGTCGGAGTTGATGCAAGTCTACGACAACTTTGTCCTACACCCTGTTGTAAGTAGAGAAACTAAGAAACTAACAAAATACAATTGTCTTAAAAAATGTTAAAATCAAATATAGGCGCGGAAGAAGGTCAATGTTCGGATCATTTTTGCTACCACACTCTTGAACAGATGGTGGGTTTTGGGATTGGCACTTCTAATAATCTCTATGAAGGCTTTGAAGTTTGCTTAACTTCAATGACGTCCACCAACTACTTGATGAACGTTGCAGTGAAAAACTTAAGATTTTTTCCCCACCTTGTTCAATGACAACAGTCAAGCAAGGCAACTGCACTAGTTCAAAAGCTTTCCATAAGTCTTAATCAGTCTTTATGTTCAGTCTAAAAAGTCTTAATCTTAAACAAACAATCTTAATAGTCTTCTGATGATATAATAAGGTTATTTTTTTCTGGTGTCTGTCTTTCACACAATTTTTTTTTTGCTGAAATAAAATTTCAAAAATTGAAAGGAAATAACTGTTTATGAATTATTAGATATGTGATAAATAGGATTGAGGATATTAGGAAAAAATAAGATCAGAGTTTAAAATGGTTCAGGTTATAATATTGATTCCAGTGATAAGGCTACAATCTCTTGTGTGGCTACAACCCTCCAACTGGCAATGGGTGAACTCTGTAAAGGCAAGGCATTTTTGGCGATTTGCGGTAAAATTATTTTAAATTCATATAAACTAAACCAACAGAGCAAACCTATTGAACCGTGTACTTGAATTTTGAAAATGGCAACAGAACAATATTTAGATCAGTATGTATTGGCATTAGGTAAAAAAATATAAACATTTTGGTTTATGAATTTTGAAATGTTGAAAGTACAACTTTGCTGCATGAACCAAAAATTCTTTATGTGAAATTCAAGATTTAAAATATGTTATTTCCCTACATGGAAATGTAAAAATATTTCAATTACCATTTTGTTGTAGTAAGTTATGACCTGAAAACAAAAAAATGGCAACTTTCACGATTTTGTGCTACAAATTTCAATAGGGGTGTGCGAAGCAGCAAGAAATTTTCGATTCGAAGCAACGATTCGATTCAAAAGATTTTCGATTCGATTCGATGCAACTCGATTCGAAGCAATACGGTATTTTTCTATTCATAATTGTCAATTGAGTGGATTAACAATAATTAAAATTTACCACATTTGTGTAATGCAAATTTTTGTTGATGTGGTATTAGGCCTATTCATACTTAACATATGAATTTTAGGTGAAAAAATATTTATTTTCAATCATAGGGATTAGAATAACCTGTGAGCTGGTTTACTTGCCTATTTCATAATTTTTACTTGGAATTGGCTCAATAGCAAGAAAGAAGAAAATATTTTTTTTTATCAAGACATTAATTCTCATTTTAATAACTGTTTAAATAACTAAATAGGTACCGTCAGCTAAATTACAACAAATTTGAATGGAACTTATTATAAAAGACCATTAAGAAATAAATTTAGCCTACATATCCTGTGGACCTGCTTCAGGACTGCAAGCAAGAAGAAAATAAAAATAATATGTTTCCACCATGCAATATGTATCATTCATTCCCTGCCTCCTAACCTCCTTAGTATAATAACCTCACACTTAGCCTACATTATTTGTTACATCATCATAAATAAAGAATTATCTATTATTGGCATCAGTTAGTAGGCCTACAGCTTTACATAGGCATTATTTTTTATAGGACCTAAAAAAGTCCTAAAAGTGTACTAAGCAACATGACAAGTGGAGAACTCATTGAAGAAAAGATATTGTGTAAACTAATTTAGGCCCTACTATAAAACTAAAAAACAGTAAATAACACACAAACATTGTTTATGGTATAATTATTAAGGACTGTAAAAAATGCATATCATGTCATACAGTAGTATAGACCTACTGCAAGAGATTAAAATCCTAAAACAACTGATTTTGATAGCTAATGAATGAAATAAAAATCCATAAAATAAAGCCAAACAAAATCACAATTAATTAGGTACCCGAAAAGTAACTCTTAAATAATATATAGTAGATTAAAATAATATTAAATCAAGAGATAAGAAAGTTAAATGCTAACTTCTAATGCCCTTGGCAACACAGGTCAATGTTTTTAAACTACCCTCAATGTTTTTGGAACAGCAGGGTCTTTTTCTCTGAAGGAAGGGTAGTAGTATGTCAACAAAAACAATGAATCACTCTCCCCAGCCAAGCCCAGGCAACGATGTGTGCATTCAAGGTCATAGACCCTACCCCTCCCCTCTTACACCACCCGGTTGCTACCCAGTTGCTTCAATTGCTGACAAAATGCAAGTGATGAAACAAGGAAGTAGAGACAAAAAAATATATTTCTTTATTCAAAAACAAAACTGTTACAGATCATTTTCAAAGAAATTAATTCATTGTAATTTGTGAGTTGTAAATATTGTATTGGATCTTAGAAATATATTTTTTTAACCCCATCTAACCAAGATACAGATCTGTTCACTATATCAGATATTTATTTTGTTTATAATTTATTATGTAAAATACTAAAATATATTTTAAATTAGGTATGGAATAAATAATAAATGATTAAACTAGTATGTCTGGATAAATAGTCTATTCTTTTGACTTTGTTTTCTTTGCACTGTTAGTGTTGCGTAACAGCTTTTGTCTTGTCAATCTTGTCAGTAGACGACTAGACTAGCTCTGGCTAGTGGCAGTGCGGCAATTGCTCCTGTTGTGTCTTTATTCGTGAGCCAACTTACTAATCTTTAATTCTCATTTGAACATTTTAATTCCTCTGTAATAATAGATATAATAATATAAGAGTGTTTCTTTGGAAATAAATTATTCTTTTTTTTCTAACAAAAATACCAAATGTATCAGTCTATAACATTAATCTTACTAGTTAAGTATTAAGTAACAACTTTTCAGACTTATTTTTAAAATCATTTTGGATCTTGTTTTGGCTAAGTTTACAGTAGTAAAATATTTTTCACACTGCTTACATCAAGACAAAAAACAAAACCTCTCATCATTTGCAATGTCAAAACAAAAAAATATAAAACAATTAAAGCTATATTTAATGCAAAGAATGTATTAAATAAGAACGCCTTCGTAAAGGAAACGCAACAGCAACGCGCTCCTGTATTGCGGGTATTGCGTTGACTTTCTGCAGGCGTTTTTCGTATATGGATACTGACTCCCTCATGAATCGAATCGTTTTTTGACCACCACTGAATCGAATCGCGATTCGATGCATCGAATTGAATCAAATCGAAATTTCGATGCATTTTCGATGCATCGCACACCCCTAAATTTCAAACATCATTCAATGGAAAATGATCATTACTATAAATTTTTATGATTTAAAAACCCAAATACCAACTATAGAAAATAAAAGGTAAATTTATTCCTCTACCTATATATATATATATATATAGTTATGAAGGCAAATATAAATAAATAAATATTTTATAGTGTTTTATATAAAATGCGGCACCACCTTTTCCATGTGGCGATCAAATTGTTTCTTCGCTGAGACGAAATGTTTCAAAAACGGGCTAAATGTAATGTTCCAAACCTCAAATCTAGTAAGTCTATACTGAAGGAACAGTTTACAAACTAAATATGTACAAATTTACAACTAATAAATATGATTCAAAGTGATAAAGTCATAGTCAAACCCGCTATATTCGTTGATGGTAAACAATCAATCAATAAAGTTCTCAAAAACCGGCTAAAAATAGTGTCTCAAGTTCCTAAAGTAATGTCACATTTCAGTCAAGACACAATAAATAATAATATCCAAACTAAACATTTAAAAATTTACAGCTTATAATCATGATGTTAACTTATACCTACCTAAAGTAAAATCACACCAAAACTTGACTTGTTAGTTGTTGGTCAACAGAGATTGAGGTTGAAGTTAGTAAGTCAGACAAATATTCACGAAAAGTAACAGCTGATAACGTCTCCACCAGTGGTGCAATCTGAAACAATTAAATACCACAATGCACTGAATTTCATGAATTTTTGAATGAGATACATTATCATATGAATAATTATATATTTCAGTGAATAAAATGTGTTCACTTATATATTTCAATCGGTCTGCCACTTCACGAACACGTAAAAATTGATTGATTTGTTTTTGTTGTTGTGAGATCATATGTAATTATATCAAAATTATTTTTGTACTATATAGGACATTTATTCCTTATTGCAGTGGTACCACCTGTTTCTTTGTAGAAAAAAATACCACTTGTTATGATTTTTTTAAACATACCGTGTTTGGCAGTTTTGTGACGTCTTACATCGTGCAACTGACTGCTCGAAATTTTCATTCACTTTAGTGCTCAATTACAGTGATCCCTTTGTGAGATAAAGTACATACCGTGTAACAAGTGCAAGTTTAGAATCCTATATTTCTAACAGTATAAAAATTATTCCATTTTACAATTGTCATTAACCATTAATTTGGAGTTAACCAAAACCTTGCGAAACGCGAGTATTATAGTCGCTGCCACTACAGAAACCACCTATAGTCGCGCTGCCAGTTGGAGGGTTAATGTTAACATTTAAATATTAATGTTATACCCGTTCATAATCTACTGTTTTTGTTGTTTTTATAGAGCCCCAGTGGTGCGATGGTATGACAGGACACCAACCGCTGCTGGTAGACAGAGCAACGCTTGTGATACTCCTTCCTCATCTACTGTTGTTGTTGTTCCGTTCTCAATATTTATTTTGTTTGAAAGTCGTGTGTGTGTGGTGGACTGGATTTATTCCGAAGCTTTCCTAACTAGTGTGTAAGCGCTTTGGTCCTATCATTGTTAATAAATTTAGCGTCTATCAAAGTTGACGGCTGATTGATGAAGATCAGTATTCTAAACAATCTTAATAGTTAGTCTAGTGAGGCAGATTATTTGATCTCAGTTTAGGTGTGTACATAATCGTATTTATTTGAACTGTCGGCACGAAAGCTACAGTTTCAATGACCCGATCATAGTTTTAATTGCTCCGATGGAAGTTTTACTTGTATATTTAGATTACTAATCAAAAAATCTCGGCTAAGAATTATGTGAAGTGTGTTCTCGACTTCTGTTTATTTTGTAATTCTATAACAGATATTTACTGTAGTGCAAATCCATTGGATCTTCAAGATCCGGGGCTATATGACTTCTTTCTGAATATTTCATACAGATGTATATTTTATTATTTAGTTAAAATGACAAACATGGTACAAAAGAAATATTGTAGTGTTAAGCTACTTAAAATATACAATTTTTCTGTCCTAATGGATTTTGGTAGTCAATTTTAGTGTTGCTCAAATTTCACTACAGCGTGATTGATTAATTGTTAAATAATGATCTATATGAACTATTATCAAATAATGTATTCCGTACGTTTAAAACTTTGTTAAGTCTACTTTTGTGATTTATTTATTCATAATACAATTGCACCATCATTTCTCAACATGTTAGTCTGTGTATCTTTGTTAATGTATGGTTTTGTCAAACAAAACTTAAACATGTTGGTGTTTTAAAAGTAATGAAGACTGATAGTTTCGGTTTAGTGATATTTGATCCACTGCCACATTTAGACACTGCCCATCAAGTGTGATTATTTACCTGTATTTGACAAGTTCAACTTTGGTCAAAACTGTTGTGTTATTTCCTTCTTTTATGATTTCATAGACACGTTTAAGAATTGTCAGTGTTCAAAGTAATTGTTTGGTTGAAAACTATTAGCTGTTTTCTTGTGGAAATTGTAAAAAAGCAATAACTTTGTTTTGGTGTGAGCAATGTTCAAATTTATAGATTGTTTACAATTCATTCCTATTCTATTTGAATTATATTTTTAACATTTTAAACATTTATTTGTTATTTGTTCAATTATATGTTTTATAACATATTTTTAGCAGAAATATTTAGGTAAAACCTAAACCCATTTGAAATAGTTTTTAATCTTTATTTTTATGGTTAATTTCCTTTTTTGATAGCTTATTTTATGAAGCGTAGAAGCTTTTTATTTTTTAATGCAGAGGCATATGTTTATTTTGAAGTAATTAAATTGCGTGTACACTTCATCTCAGGATACAAAAGCTGCCTACATTGTAACTGAGCACAATTGTTACTGTCGGATTATTTTTAATAAGAAACTTGTGTTTTGAACTAAAATAATTGTGATTATGATATAAGTATGTATCGAGGAGTAACAGTTGTGCTCAAATGTTTAATCCAGCTGTGCAGATTTATTACTTAGTGTTAATTTCAAGAGACGATTAGCAATTACTGTGTGTTTTATAAGCAGTGCCTCTATATCTGCGCAGCAATCAGGAACCAGTGTCTTGCGATTAGTCGCTACATGTCTCCACATTACTGCCATTAGATGTGTTCAGTTCTCGTTGCCAATTAGATGTTCAGTATTCGTCACTAGTATTAATTTTGTTACTCAATCTTCAGTTCTGTTTCACTTTTGATGGCAGATTTTCTACGCAATACAAACCACCTTACCTTACAGTATTGAGACTTGAGTGTTGTATACAATAGCTAGTGTATCTGTTTATAGCTGCCTATAAGCACCAAGTTTGTGGTTCGAAATACCAGAATTAAGATTCGTATTGAATGGTCGAGTTAATGGAATTGATACTACGTCCTTGAGTGAAACTCACCATCACTAGTATACAATTTCCTTTAGCCTTTCAAAACAAATTTGTACATATGCGATATCCTAGCGAGTAGTTTTTACTCACGCGTTGTTGATATATTGTCATTTTAATTTTTTATACCCGTCTGATAATTTCTGATAGATTCTTTCAGGCGACTTTTTGTGGTTGGATATTTCTCAAACCGTATTAAAGCTTTAAAATAGTTTAGGTGTTGTTGATGATTTATAGTTTTATTTATTTACAATTTTTCACTCGTGTAAAAATTCTCACTCGATAACAATCTGTATCCATATCAAAGAAGAAAATTATTTTTGAGTCCCGACAAAGGCTCGAGTACCGATCTCAAACGAACTGCGTTCTTCTTTCTGTATAGTTTTACTGCCAGACGATATATTTTGTATTGCGATCGCAGTAGGAGTAATGATTATTTATTGTATCGAGAGAGGAGGTGCCTGCATGAGGTATTACGAAGACAGCCAGTTCACTGCCAATGTAACTGTAAAGGCACTGTGTCGATACCAATGGTACAGATGTCTTATAGATTATTGTAAATACATTTAATTAATTATTATATTCGACACTGATTGAAAATATTGTAATTAGTAAAATAAATTCAGTGTTCTAAGTAAATACAAAATCTCTTTGTATAATTGATCCTTTACCCATGCATGATATTGGTAAAACTATCTTAATATAATTTTTATTTTATTTAACCCACTCTCTAAATAAGTTCTATATCAGTACAAAATATAAACTTCGAAAAGTTTGAGTTTTTTCTTGACATTTTTTATTTGAGTTTTCATTTGAGCACCAGAATGTGTATTAGCCTACAGTAAAAAATACATTTAAACAACTTTTTACACGTATGTGTTGTTTTATTTTTAATTTATCTATAGTTTTCATTATTTGTTGCAAAGGATATTACATTTTAATGTATTGCAAACAAATGTGTAAGGTACCTGCTAGCTGCTAGGTATATTACATTTTTATAAATACCGTTAGAACAAGAACAAATCATAACACCGTACATTATGGCTGTTTTCAGACCTAAAATATTAAATAAAATTAGTTAGAACAAGAACAAATCATTACACCGTACATTATAGCTGTTTTCAGACCTAAAATATTAAATAAAATTAGTTTATGTAAAATACAGCATATTATTCTAACAGGTTTACCTATTAAATCACCTTTACATTGCCTAATTAAAATTAGTGTGCATGTAATATGCGTTATATTGTGTACCGTATATTCTCCTACAATCATACTGGGGGCCCCATTGGCAAATTTGCCCGGGGCCTCTGAAGTCCTAAGTCCGGCCCTGATCGCCGCCACTGAAAAGAAGCCACTGAAAAGAAGCTAGTTTAATATTTAAACGTTACTTTTACTGATTAAAAATATTTAAATTCATTATCATTTTTAAAAAGATATTTGTTAATAGGGCCTACAACTACAAGATAATAATTTATTATCTTATTAAAATTTATTAAAACAATACTTAATGAAGGTATCTCCTATGATGATGGGTTACAACGATAAATTAACTTTTAATACATAACTCTGAAAAAAAACGAAGATTAACACAAGCTCAGCTGGGAATCTCTCTCTATATTATCTATCTACAAGATTATCTCGCATTGTTTATCTAGTTAGAAGACTGATCTCACTTGTTTTTAGTAGCTATGTAAGAATGTCTTATTTTGCCTTTTTTTTTTGTATTTATCGCCATGGCTTGATTATATAATAGCTAGGTATATATAGTCAATGATAATAGTAATATATAATATAATATATAGATAATAGGCTTAGTTATATATAATCCCCTGCGTTGTGGACATCCTCTTGAAATTTAAGTAGGTATTTTGTGCCAAAAATCATCATATAGCAGATTTGAAATACGTGACAAGCTTGAACATTACAAAAGATGGCTTTACTAAAATTATTTATTTCTTTTTAGAGCGTTTGAAGTCAGTTTTTTTTTTTACAAAAATTAATTATTAAATGCAGAATTTTTATTTCAGATTTTTTAACTCTGTAGTAATGCAAATTTATTCAGGCCCACAATGATTTTCAATAACTTTAGACGACAGGGTCGTGTACAAAATGTTGCGCAAATAGCACCAATATGTGAGCACAATAAAATGATGTTATATAATTTGTTTTACACATATTCTAGACTGTATTTCTATAATATCATGGAAATTATATGTTTATTTTTTAACGCCTCAAACACCACGAGCAATGCTCTGTCCCCTGATACTTTGTATTTAATTGATGTAGGACTGTAAATACATCAGGATTAATTCAGTTTTATTCTACAGTTTTGTGATGCCTACAATAATATTTTTGCCAATCCCCAAAGAGAAATTATTTTCTATAGTTCGGCCGCTTAGAAAACGACCTGCGCGCTAATGCTAAACCAATGCTGGAGGAGGTTGCTTTCTAAGCGGCCGAACTAATCACAAGTAAGTATGTTAAGCGGGAGTTGGGTCAGCTGATTCTGATTGTTGGTCTTAATGTTAAATGTTAAAAGGTCAATAGTGCTTTACTGTTAATTGAATGGCCTCTGAATGTAACATAGAATGTGTTTCCACTTGAATTTCTTTCATTTGGAAAATTGTAATGAACTCCGTTGTAACAATTGTGATAAAAGATTGACGGTAGAATATAAATTTGTATTTGCCATTGACATTATACATGTATAAGCAACAGTCAAGAATTGAACTAGTAAAAGGTCATAAATCATATGAGCCTACAAAAAACATAAGCTCACAAGCTAAAATACAATAATTGTATTTTAGCTTGTGAGAAAATAAAAATAAAATTATTTTCTTCTCAAAAACTCCGAGAGAAAAAAAAGGGATTTTTAAAAAGCCAATTATAAAACTTGTTTAAAAACATAGAGTGAGATGGATATGATTGAACAATTTTACTGAGTCTGTTATATATATTTTCTGTGACATCACTGTGTGGCATTTTAGAGTCAAATTTAATCTGAAGAAAACTTCTTTTAATATTTAAATTGTTTCTTGTATTGTGACTTTGGATTTCGTTATATATTGTTTGAAAGGGTAATTTTTTAAGGCTGTAAGTCATGATATCATATATGTACAAAGTAATAACGGTTTGGAATTCAAGTTTAATAAAAAGAGGTTTACAATGAGTATCAGGATGTTCATTACATATAATTCTATCTAACAATATTTTTCTGATTCAGTAAAACAACATGAATTCCTGAACTGCATCCCCAAAATATCAAGCCATAGCATAAATACTTTGAAAAAAGGCAAAATAAGACCCCCTTAGGAACTGATTTATCTATGATAAGGCATTCTTACATTAGCTACTGTCAACAAGTGGTCAAGTCATCTAACTACAGTAGATAAACAATGTGAGATAATCTTGTAGTATAGATAATCTAAGGGAGATTCTCAGCTGAGCTGGTTGTCAATGTGCATGCCTAGGAATTTCACAATTTGTTGTTTATTATGATTGAAATACCTGATCTGTGGGTCTTAAAATGAAATTTTTTTTTTAGTTTTATTTGTTGTTCAGAAGAAAACTATTTGACTGAAACCATGCTGAGGCATCGCTTATTGCAGTTTGGGTCATTTGTTGTAATTCATCTATTGTCCTGCTCTTTGAAAAGAAAGTTGTATAATCTGCATATAAAATAGATTTAGGAGGTTTTCAAATGCTACTTGAAAGATCATTGATAGAAATTTAAAACATGAGTAGTCACAGTACTGAGATAAGATTTTTTAGGAACTGAAGAATGGTATCCCCGAAGCCATACTGTTGAAGTTTCACTAAAAGATCCTGGTGATCACACAGAAAGCATTGCTCAGGTCACAATGAGAGGCCCAAGCAAAGGCTCTTGATTCAAAGGCATCAAACTAAAATGTCAATGGCATCTAAAGTTAATCTACCGGTACCACTTTGAAAACCAAATTGTGAAGTAGTAAAAAGATTGTTATTGTATTCAAGAAACTCATTTGTTCAAAAACTACTATTTGAATTACTTTAGAAAGAATTGGTACTATCTTTGACTATCCAATAGTCAATGGTACCTTTGAAATTGGCCTGTAGCTTTCGGGTTCGTCTCTTTCTCCTTTATTGAAAATGGGATGGATGGGGGATAGTTTTAATTGTTCTGGGAATCGTCCATCAGATAAAAGACTATTAATTACCATAGTTAAAGGGTTAAAGGTATAGCTAATAGGGTTTATAGTTTTTAGTTAAAGTTAAAGGGATAGCAGGGATTTTTTTCTTGAGAATATTATTTGACAAGTTGTAACAGTCCAAAGAATTCGAGTTTTTCAAAATTTTTTGTAGCATCAATGATATTTTTTTATATTTTGCTGGAACAGTCTGAATATTATTCACAAAATGCTTTGGGGAAAGATTAGGGTCGCCTATGTTCAGTTCAACTTGTTGGTCTGAACTGATTCAACAAAATATGCATAAAATTGTAATGTTATAAAATACAGAAGGCAATCAATAATAAAGTGATTTTAAATTTTGCAAACACTTCAATCTCTCAAAATCTATCTATTCTGTCTTTAATGAATTTTTATTTTCAATCTTGGATCTTTTATACTGCCACCAGAAAAACTATATACATTTTTTTTAAACATTATATAGCTGCCCGATTGTGTGAGAAATGATAGTAAAGGAAAATGACAAGGAAAAGAAAATGTTTTTTATTTTCAGAAGAGTTGGTTCTGAAATAAAATTGGTCCCTAAGGTATTGATAGCCAAAAACACATAAAAATATACTGTCGTTCAGGGACTGACCTTCCTACAAGTTCTAGATTGTGATCCTACTCCTTCCAAGAGATATTCTCTTGTAGAAAATATCTGATATCTCAGTACTTATATAGATATATTGAAGATGCAAAAGACGACCAAGGAATAAGGAAAAAGGCAAAAGGAAGTTAAAATGTGGTTAAAACTTATCCAAACATAAGTGAAATTAATTTCACAAAATATGTTTACCGGTATGATATATCAGAATGTTTCCTTATAATTGACAGATTTATTCCCTATTATATACGTTTAAGAAACATGAGGGTACTTTAGGTTTTGCAGCTACAGGGAAAGTAGTAAAGTATATTTTTGTGCTAAATATCAAAAGACTAGTATAAAATATATAAATTTGACAAATTTAATCGAAATCTATACTTATGAAATACAAATACCACTCACTCACTGATCACTATATCTAAAAAAAAAAAAAAAAAAAAACTACTAGCCATAACAACTCAGGAATTGGCATGGAGGTTCCAATCAACCTCTAGCTGCAATAAGAACTGTTTTCAATAAATTCCATCAGGGCTCTGCCCCAGTGGCTTTTAAAGTTCCCATGTTATCCTTATGGAGAAAAGATTTGTTAACATTTGAACACATGAATACTTTTGAATCTTTTTATACTTTAACCCTTCGGGTGCCAGAAATTTATTTTGGTACTTTCCAAAAAGTGCCAGAGTTTTTTTGTCTGAAAAGTGCCAGGCTTTCTGTGGGGGCGAAGCGTAGTGCGCATGAATAAAAATCGGTAAAAGTATAAATTTTCATCCCAAAAGTGCCATGGAACGATATATCGTGCCTCGATCGTATGAGAAATTGAT